AGTGGTGAGCAAAAATGGACATACTTCTCACAGAACTTGTAGTCCCATGGGAGAAAAGGAGGATGAGGTTTAAAGGATTAAATCTGATGTAAATCAAATTCTTTTCTTTTTTGGAGAGGTTTTTGCTATAGGGTGCATGCACTCACTACAAAGACAGAGAGATAGAGAGACAGAAAGCGAGAAATCACCCCCCACGGAGGATGGCTACCCTGCAACCCCTTCTCCTCCATTCTCCTCTCAGGATTTTGGGCATGCATGCACACATGCCCAGCGTGAGTTTAAGCCACCGGGTCTGGGACTCGAACTACGGTAGACTGCATGGGACTCCAACGACATAGATATATTAGCACACCTACAGTTGTCTTTTCTCATCTCTGCAAGTTTCTGAGCCTTGGATCTTAAAAAAAAATGTATGCTACAGCTTTTAAGACCTCATAACCTCTCTGTTTCAAATCCATTCAGTAAATAACCAGAATGTTAATGTTTAGGAGTCTGCTTTTCAGCAAGGGCTCCTAAAATCAAACATGTTCAAGTGGAGAACATGATCCCAGGACAGGACTCAAAGGCTTACTTGTAGGCTTAGATTCATCCCTTTATATCTTTTTATTATGATTCAAAGATGAGCTAGGAGGTAATTCAGTCATTAGGTGCAATTCGGAGTCTAATAAATGCTATGGCTCGGAGCCTTTGCAAAGATTCTGGGTTTTCATCAGGGTACATTTTTAAGTGGTTTAATTCTGCCTCTGATTGCCAGGTGCTAAAATATGAACCTTCACACTTGTGAGTCACCCGATTTAACCAAGCTGTGGCTTTACCCTCAGAGAGTTTCCTAGGTGTGAACCTAACTGTGCCCCAGACCCACAAAAACATTTTAGTCAAGATTTCCAGGGTAAATTCTAGCCCACCCTTGTCAAAACCACACAGACTCCCACCCCTGACCCCCTGTAGAGTTACTGCTACAGCCCTGGGCTCCTCAGCAATTCTGATTCTGTTAAGTTGGTTGTAAAACCTTAGACAATGGACTTCAACTCCTTTAACCTCAATATCCTTATTTGTAAAATGGGAATACTCCACCACACCATGTGACTGAAAGGATGCAGGACAAAGGGCCTGACCAGTCCTAGGGAGTCTCTCTGCCTCAAAGAATGAAACATTTTAATTAGAAGAACAAAATACAGATAGGAGAAGCCTTTGAAAAGATGACTGAAACACGCAGGAATCAAACAATTAGCCAGTGAGGTATGGCCTTAGTTCTAGGGTACTGAATTACCATATTTTATGCTAAGATGCCATCTTTTATAAAAGGATGCTACATTTCAAAGACAAGAAATGTGAAAACTATGGCTCCTAGGAAAATGAGATCATGTAATGACAAGTTATAAGAAACAACATTCTGGAAGATAAATGTAAGGAAATTAGGATGTTAGATTCAGAAAGATATCTTTCACTTTTACTTCTCTTGCTTAGTTCGCCTGATTTTCTTTAGCTTGTGATGGAAGCCTGCCTCTGTACCTCCTGGAAGCCTACGAATAGGGAGGCAAGTACAATTTGCAAACTGCTTACTGTAACGTCTTTACAAATAGAGAAAGAGTCCTTCAAACCGGTCTAGCTTCACTTAGAAGAGCCAGTCAGAAAGGGCCACTACTCTGATTTAGAGTTTATCAGCCAGATAAACCACACACACACACACACACACACACACACACACACACACACACACGCTGAGCTGTAAGTTATTTCATCATTTCCTTCGACAATTCTCTAGTCCATCCTCTGTTTCATTTTATGAGGTTGTACTTTCAAAGGTCTATACTATTTGGGGTATGCAGTTAAATGACTGATTAGGGCAGTTTTTTCAGGGTCAGGAAAATCTAGGGTTAAAAACTGACTTTCTCAACTACTGACAGCTGGACCTAGAGCGTTTTTTTTTTGTCACGCTTAGCCTCAGTGTTTCCATTTGCAAAACAATGACAGTAATACTTTGCCAGGTTACTCTGTGTCCCAGAGGCAAAATATGTAAACTACGCAAGGCCTGGCACAATGGTCCTCAACGTATGGAGTTGTATTGAAATGTCTCCTCTCTCTCACTGGTTTCAAGGGCCTTTATCCTTCTTCAAAGGGTCTTCACCTTTATTATCTCATGCCATCTTCCCCACAAAGGAAAGAGATTAGAAGTTATCTCTAGGTCACAGAAGAGCAAGCTGAAGTGGCAGACGTCTAATGGCATGGATTCCAGAGACAATTATTTCTGCCCTTCATAAAAAATGTTTATACAGGGAAAAATCCTAAGCAGCGATCTAGTTGATGAAAATAAAAAATAATACATGACGGGAACCAGCAGTTAGCGTAATGGCTATGTCGCTGGACTCCCACGTAGTCGACTGCGGTTCGCGTCCTGGACCCGGTGGCTTAAAACTCACGCCGGGTGCGTGTGCGTGCGTGCCCAAGATCCCGAGAGGAGAATGGAGGAGGAGAAGGGATTGCGGCGTGACCATCCCCCCTGGGGGGTGATTTCCTGCTTTCTGTCTCTCTATCTCTCTCTGTCTGTCTGGCGAGCGCACGCGCCCTATAGCAAAAATCTCTCCAAAATAAAAAAAATAAATAAATAAAAAATAATACATGACCAAATGCAAACATCCACTTAAGTAGAACTGAAAATGAGCAGCACCGTCAATGAAGTAAAGGAGGGGGGAGTTTGTATTTTAATTTCACATTACCAAGTGAAGAGTCCTACTGTGTTTGGGTGATAAGATAGGTAATAATTCTTTTCTTTCTTTTTTTAAAAAAACAATTATTTATATTTTATTATTATTATTATTATTTCAACTTGCTATAGGTCATGTGTACCCATCAGAGGGAGACAGAGAGAGAGAGAGACAGACAGAAAGCTGCTAGGTCTGGGACTTGAACCATGGTCAGTAACGTGGAAGTCCAGCACCCTAATCACCATGCCACCTGCTGGCCCCAGGTTTTTTCTTAATTTTTAAAATTTAACTTTCTTCTCCCTTTACTTAGTTTAAAAAAAAAAAAAACTTGTAAATCCAGAGGGAAAATAATATACATGTTCATTCATATTTATGTGTAAATATGTATACTTTCTTATAAAACAATGGGGTTTTTCCTTAATAGTAATCGCAAACTATCCCTGACCCATGGACAAGAAACAGGGGCTCTACCTCAAGTCTGTCTTGGTAGCTCAGGTTCCCCCAACTCTGATCAGCAGGAGGACGATTGGTATCTAGAATGAATGGCATAGGGCTATCATATTTCTCTGCAAATGAAATCACCTAGGGGACTTTTTTAAAAAAATGCAGTGTCCAGTTCTCCCAATAGACCACATGACTCAGCATCTCTAGGGATAACATGGAGATGACAGGGGACCAGCAGTTGGTGTAATGGCTATGGCACTGGACCCCCATGTAGTTGATTGCTGTTCAAGTCCCAGACCCGGTGGCTTAAACGCACGCTAGGCACATGTGCCTGTGTGCCGAAGATCTTGAGAGGAGAATGGAGGAGAAGGGATTGCAGCGTGGCCATCCTCCCTCAGGGGGTGATTTCTTGCTTTCCATCTCTCTGTATCTCTCTCTTTGCAGAGAATGCACTTGCTCTATAGCCAAAACCTCTCAAAAAAAAAAAAAAGATGGAGATAACAGTATTTTTTTATTTTTTGGAGAGGTTTTTGCTATAGGGCACGTGTGCTTGCCAGACAGACAGAGAGACAGAGAGATAGAAAGCGAGAAATCACCCCCCAGGGGGGATGGCCACGCCACAATCTCTTATCCTCTGTTCTCCTCTCGGGATCTTGGGCATGCATTCACACGTGTCCAGCGTGAGTTTTAAGCCACCGGGTCCGGGACGCGAACCGCAGTTGACTACGTGGGAGTCCAGTGACATAGCCATTACGCTAACTGCTGGTCCCCAACAGTATTTTTTTTTTAAACTTACTGTGTAATTTCACTGTCCAGGTGGTGTGAGAAGCAGCGAGTTCTTGAGAGCAATAGTTCCAGGATGGGGACTAGGCTTCTAAATTTCTAACAAGCTGGCTTCCCAGTGATGTACATTCTGTTGATTTTTGGACCAGACTAAGTGACAAGGCTCTAGAGGAATGCCTCTGCCTTCATTTCAGAAGTGATCCGGGGGGTAACTCAGTACCTGGGTTACAACATCACTTGGGAGGACTGCTTCATTAGTTATCAAAATGAACATTTGGCAGAATCTGAGCTTGCTTTGCCACTTCAGACTTGTGTGCTTTATTACGAGTAATGCTGGGGGTCTCTTGTGTTCCTCAGGGGGCCAGACCACTGTCACTTCCACCTCGCATTTATTGAATACAGGGCTGTAAGGCCATAGGAAACTGGCCCCTGCTCCCCATGGGGCACAGGGAGGCAGAGGTGCCTACACTGAGTGCATCAGAATCTCATGGGACCAGCAGTTAGCGTAATGGCTATGTCGCTGAACTCCCATGTAGTTGACTGCGGTTCGAGTCCTGGACCTGGTGGCTTAAACTCATCTGGGCGTGTGTGTGTGCACCCAAGATTCAGAGAGGAGAATGGAGGAGAAGGGATTGCAGAGTGGCCATCACCCCTGGAGGGGGTGGAGGGGGAGGCAGTGACTTCTCACTTTCTGTCTCTGTCTCTCTCTGTCTGGCGAATGCACGTGCCCTATAGCAAACCCCGCCCCCCCCCAAGAAAAAAGAATCTCATGGCATGCCTCTTATTAATGCTCTTGAGCCTACCTAAGAGATTCCAATTTCAACGGTCTTGGCCATGCTTAGAAGTGAGTAACAATAATAACAGAGATAGTTCACTTGTATTCAATATATGCTATATGTCAGGTACTGTTCTGATCATTTCATAACCAAACTCCATTTCATCTTCATAATGATGCTATCGAGCAGGGACTTACGTTATCCCCAGTGTACAAATTGAGGAAACTTATAAAGAGATCAAATAATTTGACCAAGATCATAACAGTAGAAAACTACAGAGAGCCTGGACTAAATGTTCCAGCCAGGAAAATGTGGCATCCATGGGTTCGAGGCAATTCGAGCTCCAGCCAGGCTGATCAAGGTGGTTTGCAACAGCTGTCTGGGGAAGAAGGTCTGTGTGCAACGCAGCACAGATGACACCATTGGGTACCTTAAAAAGCTGATTGCAGCCCAGACTGGCACCCATTGGAAGAGGATCATGATGAAAAAGTGGTACATGATTTTCAAGGATCACGTGTCTCTGGGGGACTGTGAAATCCATGATGGGATGAACCTGGAGCTTTATTACCAATATAGCAGATACATTTCTCCCTGCTCCACCCCTCCCAGTCACCCACCTACACTCTCCAACACTGGTGGAGAATCTTGTGTTTAAAAATTCACTTTAGTAAAAGCTCAGATCCTGGAAGAAAGAAAGAAAGGAAGGAAGGGAAGGGAAAGGAAGGGAAGGGAAGGGAAGTGAAGGGGAGGGGGGAAGGGAAGGGAAGGAAAGGGAAGGGTGGAAGGAAGGAAAAAGCAGGCAGGCTTTGGGATAATTTAATTTTTTTTTTTTTTTGGAGAGGAAGGAAGGAAGGAAAGAAGGAAGGAAGGAAGGAAAGAAAAGAAAAAAAGAAGGAAGGAAGGAAGGAAGGAAGGAAGGAAGGAAGGAAGGAAAGAAAGAAAGAAAGAAAGAAAGAAAGAAAGAAAGAAAGAAAAGAAAGAAAAAAGAAAGAAAAGAAAAGGAAAGGAAAGGAAAGGAAGGAAGGAAGAAAGGAAGAAAGAAAGGAAGAAAACTGTAGATATGGGATTGTAGTGCAAGAAAATTTAGCATAGTTAGCTATGCTAACTATGAATTTCTGACTAGAGAAAGGAAATAAAGGAAAAAATAGAAGCAAGTAGTAAAAGGCTGGTAGGCTGGGTGCAGAGTCACAGCCTGAGGTTGTGCCTGAGGTTGTGAATCTTCAGATCCTTCAGATCCTACATATCCCTCTTTGAATGGACTGATTCCGATGCAGGTGGCTCCCAGCTCATCCTGAAGTTCCATTTACAGGTTTCCTGACCCAATAAACTAGCTTCCCAGGACCTTCTGGGGAGCTTTTTAAAGTACAATCTCCCGGGGGCCTGCAGGTGGGCTGGTGACTAAGGGCACTGGACTCCCACATGGCCGACTGTGGTTGGAGTCCCAGACCTGATGGTTTGCTTGCTCTCTCTCTGTCCCCTTCTGGTCAAATTTAAATAAATAAATAACATTAGGTAAAATAATTTTTTAAAAATACAATCTCCTGCATCTTCTTTCTCTATATTTTCACTCCTTAGGCACAGCATGAGGTCCAGGAATCTGCATTTTAATGATCATTCTCTTTCTCCCAAATGATTCTGATGTGTGGCCAAGTTTGGGATTCAGAGGAAAAATAGGACTCTGAGGCTGGCAGCCTGGGTTTGCTACTTGCCACCTCTGTGTCCTCATTCATTCATTTGCTTACTCTCTTAACAATTACCAAGCACTGGAGCAACTCCTATAGGCTGGCACTGGATGCTACAGATTTAATAGCAAACAAGCAAATCCCTTCCTTGTAGAGTTTCCATTCTGGCTTCTCAAGCACTGAAAGTAGAATTGGGGAACATTAGGAGGACTGGCAGGTGGCATGGTGGTTAGGGCCGCTGGACATCCCCATGGGTCAAGTCCCAGACCTGGAGGCTTGCTTTCTCACTCTGTGTGTGTGTGTGTGTGTGTGTGTGTGTGTGTGTGTGTCTTTCTGGTCAAATTAAAATAAATGAATGAATAAATAAAATGAAATAATTATTAAAAGAAAAGAATTGGGGAACATTAAGTAGCAAAAGGGGTCTGCAGGACTGCAACTTCAGAGTGTCTGGAGAAGGTCTCATTGGGAAAAATGATAGTTGAATCAAGATTTGAAAGAAGCGGAAGGTTATGCAGAGAGTCGTGGGAAAGGAGTTCCTGACAGAACACAGAGCTAGTGCAAAAGCTCTGAAGCAGGAGCATGCTTGGCATGTCTGAAGAATGGCCAGCCAAAAGGCCAGGGTAGAGGGACTAGGTGAGTGAGCAAGAGAGCTGGAGGAAATGAATTCAGAGAAATAACAGGGGGCACATCATGTAGAACTTGAAGGCCACCCAAAGGACTTGGGCTTTTATTGGGAGTGATACAGGAAGCCATTGAAAGGTGCCAAGTGGATCACCTGATCTTTCTTGTGTTTATAAAAGGATCCCCTGGTTGCCGGGTTGATAATAAACTCTACTAAGGTAAAAACAGAAAGTTGGAGACCAGTTAGGAGGCTAGATGAGAGAGCATGCTGACTTGGATGAGAGTGGCAGGAATTGATGTGATGAAAATAAGTACCAGCAGATGGCGTAATGGTTACACAACTGGACTCCCATGTAGCTGACTGCAGTTTGAGTCCCATACTGGTGGCTTAAAATTCACACCAGACGTGTGTGTATGTGCATGCCCAAGATCCCAAAAGAATAATGGAGGAGAAGGGATTGTGGTGTGGCCAACATCTCAAGGGCTGATGTATATCACTTTCTGTCTCTGTCTCACCAGCAAGTGCACACACCCTATAGCAAAAATCTAAAAACGAACAAACAGTAACAAAAACAAACAAAAAAAGTGATGAAAAATGAATATTTTCTGGATGTATTTAGAAAGTAGTGAAACAGGGAACCAGCAGTTAGCGTAATGGCTATGTCGCTGGACTCCCACTTGGTCAACCTGGTTCACATCCCAGACCCACTGGGCACGTGTGCGTGCGTGCCCAAGATCCCGAGAGGAGAATGGAGAAGGGATTGTGGCATGACCATCCCCCCTGGGGGGTGATTTCTCGCTTTTTGTCTCTATGTCTCTCTCTGTCTGGCGAGTGCATGCGCCCAATAACAAACAAACAAACAAAAAACAACCTCTCCAAAAAAAAAAAAGAAAGAAAGAAAGTAGTGAAATAGGATTTGCTGAAGATTTGGGTTATAAGAGAAAGAAGTCAAAGATCTTCTTAAGGAAAATGTATTTCAATCATTGATTCCTTAAGTAATGGTAACTGGGCACCATGCTGTGGTTTTATGTGCTGTGCACAAAGCCTTACGGGGTATATTGGTAAACTAGACTCATGGTAGCAATCCTCATGGAGTTTCTATCCTAGTGACACAAAGACAACATGTATTACTGTTCGCCTGGGACTGGGACGTGGGGCATTCTAAGAGCAGGGAAAGTCTGTTTGGAAAGTGATGAATACAAATCCTGAAACACAACAGGGAAGACATTTCTATATACAAGTTATGTACATAGTAACTTACGTAAGTGTGAAGAACATGGGTTTTTGCTGATGAACTACAAAGGGAAAGGGAACAATCCATCAAGATGGAATGGAATGAAGAATTAAGTTGGGCTATATCGCCATGATTTCTTTGGTAAGCCAGCAGTCTTGTTTGGTTTGGTTTGATTTCTATTTCAATATGGTGGATAGTTTAGTAGACCAGTAGCATAGTCAGGAAGCCATAACCATGGGACTTGGAGCCATCCCTAGGAAATGCTTTGGGTTTGCTTTGGGATTACAAGGGGATGACTTGTCAGTGACTTAGTTTGCTGGGACAAGGTCCCAACCAAGGATATTTGGCAATGTCTGGAGACATGTTCAGTTGTCATAAATAGGACACAGGGTAGGGGAGGGTGTTGCTATTGGCATCAAATGCTGCTAAATGTCTACAATAAAAAGGGCAGCCTCTCTTTCTTCTCTGCCCCCGACCCACTGAAGAATTACCCAGTCCTATCTGACAATAGTGCCTAAGGCTTAAAAACCATGACATGAAGAAGACAGATAAAGCTATCACCCAAAACCACAGGCATAGGATCACAAACAAAATCGGTAGCTTGAGAAGAAAAATATCCACAGTCTAATAAATGTTATGAACCCTGGGTAATACCATCATGTCACCAATGAAAGCGAATACTCAGAAGAACAAGTGTGGAGTGTCTCCGAGTTTTTTCCAGAAATGACCCTTTGGAGGCAACCATCTTATTCTTGCTGTCTTCACCAAGGAGGAGGGAGAGCCTTTTCTTCCTCTTTAAAGGTTCCGATGGCCTGGGACTGGGATGTGGGGCATTCTAAGAGCAGGGAAAGTCTGTTTGAAGATGTTTTTATTCTGGGAAAATTAATGGGCAGACAATGTAAAACAAAAGAGACAAATTGTTCTTTTGGTTCCAAATAAATGCTTGTTTTCTAACACTGCCTGAATTTAAATGGTCCTCAGTTTGACTGTGAAATTAACACCTCTTTGAGGTTAATTGTGGGGGTGGGGTGCAATTCACACCACTTCCAGAGCTATTGTCTGTCTGGAATGCAGAGGGAGCCGGCAGCAGTGCTGGTAAACTCACTTAACCAGCAGCCATTCCCGCCACCACCAGCCACAGGCTTTCTGGTCCCTGGAGTTAGGAATGGCCTCTTTACTGAGTGGGTTTTGCACAAAAGATGCATAACTCATAATTACACAACTGTCAGCTACAAGCTCAGAATCTTTAGTCATTAGCCAGAGGACCTTTAAAAATCTTTTTAAGTCTTTAGGGTCATCCAGTTACACTTTTTCAGTTTCTTTCCTACTCTAAAATTCTGCCATTTTTATGGATCCTTCAAGCAATGACTTAAGAGTGGGAAGCAACCTTAGACTCTGTTTTGTGGTACAGTTTCTCTCAAGTTACGTCATGGAAGGATAGTAAACAAATGGTCTTTAGGAGCAGTATGTGTACATGGGACAAGCAGGTGGCATGATGGTTAAGATGCTAGACACTCCTGTATGGTCGTCCATGGTTTGAGTCCTGGACCTGGTGGCTTGCTTTCTCACATTCCCTCATTTTCTGTGTCCCTATCGCTCTCTCTCTGTGTCTCTCTCTGGTCAAATTTAAAAAATAAATAAATAAATGAGTGAATTAATACATTTTTAAAATTTCAATAAGTAATAAAAAAGAAATGTGTACAACAACTTTCTCTGGGGAGCAAAATATTTTAAAATAATTATTTCATATTATTAAGATTCTTTCTATAAATATGGAATGAGTGTTGAATGCTGTCATTAATACATGCATATATGCCCGTTTTTTCCATAGCTTACATACCAAATGTCATTAGGTTTTGTCATTTTTAATAGATTTGGCTAGTTTACTATAATACTAATTTTAGAATATTTATATTTGGGTGTCTTCAGGCTTTAAGAAACTTATCTACATGCAATTATATGCTTTATTTATACTGTACCTAAACATCTTTAAGTTGATAGAAGTTCATATTCCATAGAGCTTCTTGCCTTGACCAAGTGCTATTTATTTTTTATTTATCTACTTATTTACCACCACAGTAAAGACTGAAGAAAGGGATATTGAAACTACAAAAAGA